AATTGTGGAAAACTCTTTTTTTCCCCCCCTTCATTCTGCCTTTCAAAAACAAGATGCATATTATATTCCAAGGAGTGTTGTATGGAAGAAAATATGGCAGTTTGTTTCAAATGAGTAATCCTAATTTTAATTGGTCTGGCTTTAAAATAACATATCAGTTTTAGGAAAGATGGATCCACTTTCTGTTTACGTTCCCCTTGCTCTCTCTGCTTTTTTCTCTCTAATGCCATGTCTCATATATAATATGGGGAAGGTCACAGAAAAATTGAAAATTGCTGTTTTGGAACTCTTCCTTTTGATTGGGACTAACTTGCATTCTTCCAAATGATCCTGCTTTTTCAGACTCTGGGTACACTGTTAAGTGATACAGTATCATAAAGTTACACATTTTAGATTTTAATCTTCTTGGAGCTTGTTACCATTTGAGTTTACAAATAATCATTTGAGCCATGGATGAAAAGTATGAGGCACAATAGTTTGTACCACCTTTTGTGTTTAGCCAAATTACCTAAGTTGGAAAAGAGGTTGGTTCTGGAGAGGAGTTTATCAAGTAATAGAATACACGTGCCCTAAACTACCAAAAATAAATTATTTATGGTGGATTAGAGGGAAGGGGTGATTAAAATTTGGTAGCATTTAAAGTACATAAGTGATTTATTATGAGTTCTGACAGTTTTATCCTAATTCTGCAGAGAAACACATGCTCAGAGAATGCGTAAAGAGTTTCTTATCAGAATATTCCATTGCTGTGAAAGAAGCTCACTATCCCATCTTTTAAAATCTGAATAGTAGCTGTCTAGTTTAATGACTGCACCACTCGCTGTTGTGAAGAATTCTTTGTGTACTTGCCAGAAATGTTGGGTTGACTGAAATGAATTCCTTGGGACAGAAAACCAAAAAAGAAACAAAATTGACTTCTGATCTTTTGGCTCCATCATGGGAGGAATAGCAAAAAATACCATAGATACACAAAGATGTGACCTGAGAAATGTCACCTTGTGCTTATGTCATTCAAGTCCACTCTGGCCACACACTGTGACTTGACCACCTCAGAAATGGGAAATTAAAGATGTTGGTACTCTTTGGCTGTGAACAGACATCGCCTTTGTGCCTCCATAAAAATTCTTATGATGGCACAAAGCAGACACAAATAGACATCTGTTCCCTTTATCGGACCCCAAATGCCCATATTTGTGGCCATAACAAAAGGTAGTCTTGATTTGTGCTGCTGTTTTGTGGCAGATGTCTGCTTGTTTTAAGGTTAGAGAGCGTATGCGGGCAGCCTGGAACATTCTCCAGCCGAACCTTTGGACTTGCTAAGGAATTCTGAGGGCACATAGGATCAGACTCTGAAGCCTTGGGGGAGAGCCTGCCTGGGTTTCCCTGTTTGCAGAGGCATACCCGGGACTTCTGACTTGGGGCATGCCTCTGTAAGCAGGGAAATCTGGGGTTCCCCTGTTTGCTATAGGTATGCCCTGAGTGTTGCCCTGCCTGGGAGCAGTAGGACCTTATCCTACAGGATGAATGATGTCTGTTTCTCTCAATTAAGTGGGCTGGCTGTGCCAGGAGAGCTGATTGTAATTGTTTAGTGCCATGAATTTGGGTGAGGGGAACTGTAGGAATTCATCAGTCCTTCCTAGTGGCCACTCTAAACCATAACAACAAGTGACTTTGGGTATAATGACAAAAGCCAAACCAGAGAAGAGCAAAACTGTCATTTTTGTAGTTATTTTCCCTTACTCGGATTCAGAGAGAGAGAGAGAGAAACGTTCAGTAAGAGGAATTAGACAACAGTAAGCATTAAGAAGCATTCTCACGTGGAACAGAACAGTGCTTTGAGAAATAAGGGATGATTTTTCTTATACGTTACAGTAGCATTTAGATGAGTCTCTGTACCAAAACCTTAGAAGATTGAAAATAGGTGACCAAAGTGGTTGCCAGAGATGAGCAGGATTTTTTCCACCTGAGAATAAAGAGCAACTTAAAATGCTGAGTGAAAATTCATAATAAAAATGTAACACTTTACAGTGGAAGCATCTGGAGAACACTATTTTTAATAAGTATTGGTTAAATTTGAGGACAGTGCTGGAAAGCTCTTCAGTTTTAAATATGTGTATTTGTAAAGAATATGGTAGAGTAAAATTGTTTAGAGATGTAAAACATTAGTGTAAAAGGATATACTTTATAGGGAAGTCATTGCTTTGTATATTTTGTTGGTTTCCTGTGAATAGAAGATGACTGAAAGGTCTTAACATATTTTTCTCTTAATGCTCCAAAAGTAGGAGGAGGCCAAGATTAGGTTGTCTAATCTTGTCTAGGATTGCTTGGTGAAATTGGTGAAGAATCCGTATTTATCCCATGCCCTTTTGGTGAAGGACAAAATGTTAAAGATTTGTTAAAAATAAACAAAGATTATTTTTTTTTTCTTTTCCCCAATGTGTGTGGGTTGACTTCGGTTAACATCTAATTCAAACAGGCAGAGCTTTACATAGTCTAAATAAAAATTGTTTCCACTTTTGATTACTCAAGATTCAACTCCTGTGTCCTAATTCTATTGCCTTATTCTGTGCCAAATTCTTAGGAGACTGGAGTTCTTATTATTTATTTGACCAAGAGATGTAGAACTGAGTTGAGCCTTGTTAGACCTTATATAAAGGAATTTAAAGGAGCCTGAGTCCATTGACTGTTTTTTGCCATGTGTTCCACCACTAAGCTTATCTTTGCATATGTCTGACAGTTTCAGAGGCTTACGTTCTACATGGTGTAGGCATTTTGATGCTTGATAGAAACTGCCAGCTTCTAATATCCCGTTTCATTTGAAAATGATGCAGTACTGTGTGAACACTTTGTTTTGTTTTGTTTGTTTGCAGAGGTACAGGACAAAGCCTTACTGCTGTAGCCTATGCAAGTTTTCATCAAAATTGCTTACTTCATTCAAGAATCATTTGCACCGTTACCATGATGATGAAATGGACCAAGAGTTGGTGGTTCCTTGCCCAAAATGTGCATTTGTTTCTGATCACAAAGTAGTGGGAAAACACCTCAGAATGTTCCATTCTTCTTCTAAGAAAATACAGAACTATACAGTGAGCATTTTAGGTGGCATGAAACAATTCAGGAGTGACATTATAAACTTCACATGTCTAAAATGTCACTTTACAGATACGTTATATTACAATATGAAGAAACATGTGTTAATGAACCACTTTCAGAACTTAATAAGCACCTATTTTGGCCTGAAACCTGATGAAAGTGATGAGAATTTTGTTGAGAATTTTGTTGAATATTACTGCAAAAAGTGTAATGCCTCAGCAAACAGCCAAGATTCTTTAATGTATCATGTCTTGACATCTGAAACACACAGAGATCTGGAGAATAAACTTCGATCAGTGATTTCAGAACATATTAAGAAACCAGGCCTTGTGAAGCAAATGCATATTGCTCCTAAGCCTCCCACAAGTATATCTGCTCCATCCTTAGTTCCCTCCACTGTACAAGCTGGCTCAGTTACTTCTCCAGCTTGTATTCAGCTTGCATTTCCACGGAATAATCAAAACCAAGCTGTCATACCAGCAAAAGCAGTTCCAAATGCAGTCAGACCACTGCCTGTTTCAAGTGCCTCGGGTAGCATTACACATACCATTTCTGCTCCAGGTGTTACTCCACCACATGTTACGCTTGTATCCAGTCCTCTTCCAGTAGGTCAGAATAGTGTTAATATTCAACCGTCAGTTCCACAGCCTGTCTTTGTTTCCCATAGGCTTCCCCTCAATCAACCTGTCAGGCCAGGGATCATCCCCTTTAATAAACCTGTTGGGACCATAAATAGACCTGTTGGTGCAGCAGTTCTTCCTCTCAACGAACCCGTCAGGCCTGGGCTTTTTCCTGTTAATCAGCCCATTGGTACAATAAATAGTTCAGTTGTATCTGGGGCACTTCCCATAACTCAGCCTGTAGGTCCTATAACCAGACCTGTTGTACCGGGGGTTCTCCCAGTAAATAGACCTGTTGCACCGGGGCTTCTTCCTGTGAATCGACCAGTTGGGAATGTGAATCGAGCTGTAGGTCCTGGGGTTCTGCCGATGGCCCAGACAGTCACGCCAGGGGTTCTTCAGCTTAATCAGCCTGTTGCACCAGCTGTGGTTCCTGTTAGACAGCCTGTCAGACCTGGAATTCTCCAGCTTAATCAGCCTGCAAACTCAGGGATTCTCCCTGTAAATCAACCAGTCAGGCCTAGTGTTTCTCAAAACACTGCTTTCCTGACTACTGGGCCTATACTGAGACAGTTGATTCCAACGGGCAAACAGGTAAATGGGATCCCAACGTACACCCTTGCTCCGGTTTCAGTTACTTTGCCTGTTCCAGCTGGTGGTGGAGTAGCAACTGTTACACCTCCACAAATGCCTATTCAGTTAATGCAGTCTGGGGCAGTAACCCAGCTCTCTCACTCTCCAGCCAGTGCACCTTCTCCTCCTGTAATAGTGACTTCTTCCCAGAATATGTCTGTACCGGCTTCTCCTCCTGGCCCTGAAATGAGCCAAGCTGTCAAACAGGCAAAGCAGTGGAAAACATGCCCTGTTTGCAACGAACTTTTCCCATCAAACGTCTACCAGGTGCACATGGAAGTGGCTCATAAGCACAATGTGGTAAAAACTGAGGAAACCGTTGATCCAGAAAAACTTGCAGCATGTGCACCCTTTCTCCGGTGGATGAAAGAGAAGACTGTCCGCTGTTTCTCTTGTAAATGTTTCCTGTGTGAAGAAGAGCTTTTGAAACATCTACTCATGCATGGTTTAGCTTGCTTGTTTTGTACGTTTACTTTCCACAATCTAAAAAGTCTTGTTGAACACAATAGGTCCGTGCACAATGGGAAAAAGAAATTGCATGCAGATTACAGCAACAGAGGCTTCCAAATAGATAACGATGCTGAGGGGGAACTAATAATTCCACATTTTGATTTTAGTACAGTATTGCCAAAAGAAGAACTTGGTGAAAAGGAAGTCCATTTGGCGGTGCTTGTTGGAGTAAACTCGAGGACACTTGTACCTGTTTACATCAAGGTGAAGCCTCAAACCACTGAAATGAATACTAGGGTCAGCAAAAAAGTATTGACGTGCCCCTTTTGTTTTGGTACTTTTGTTGACAAAGAAGCCTATGAACTGCATTTGAAAGAGAGGCACCATATAATGCCAACTGTGCACACAATTTTAAAGTCGCCTGCTTTCAAGTGTATCCACTGCTGTGGGGTATACACTGGAAACATGACTCTGACAGCAATTGCTGTGCATTTGCTCCGCTGCAGAAGTGCTCCAAAAGATAGCAACTCAGACATGAAGATGCAGCTTGAGCGTTCTGAAAAGAAAGACTTGATGTTGGTCAATGGTGAAAGGCAAGATCCTGTTACCTTACCTGCTAAGAGAAAGCAATCTGATTTCTGCTCTGTTATAGAGGACCAAAGGAACAAAGAACAGCAGCCACAGATGTTAAATGCCAGTACAGCTCTAGTTCCAGAAAAGGAAGGGAATCAAGGGGGAGTGCCTTGCAAACGACAAAAAACTGAAAGCAGGATAGAGATAAAAGGGCCTCCTTCAAGTGAGGACCTCCATATTCTAGCATTAGATCCTAAACAGCATGAACACAAGTCTCATGAAGGTCAAAAGCAGTTTCTGAAAGATTATTTTCACAGGAGGCCCTACCCATCTAAAAAGGAGCTGGAATTACTGTCTTTGGAACTGGGTGCATGGAAAGTTGATGTTGCATCCTTTTTTGGGAAAAGACGATATATGTGCCTAAAGGCGATAAAAAATCGCAAACCATCTGTGCTGCTAGGTTTCAGTATGTCTGAACTTAAAAATGTAAAGCACAGTTTGAGTTTAAAACCTGAAACAAAAGGTATGTAAAAAGTGTTTTAAAACACCAGTATAAAGCAATCAACTGCATCCTTAGTTCAGAAATTTATTGCATTGGTTTATTTCTTTTAACTTACAAACTGACCCATTGGAGGGTTACAGTAGTACACAAAACCACACTCAGTTGTGACTGTTCTTGAACAAGGCAGCAATGATCTTATATCTGAAGAAGGTGCATCCTTCAGATTCATTGTTCTGGGAACTTGTTTTAGCTGTTTACTTTCTTGTGGAGTAGTGGGGGGGGGTGTTTTGTTTTCTGTTTTCCTCCGTTTTGATTTTTATGCTGCCATGTAAAATGTCTCTTTTGTTAAACTTCTCCCCTCCCTTCTTCCCCCCTCTCTCCCCGACAATGTCAGCCTTTTTTCTAAAAAAAATAAAGTTCATAATGTTGGTTAAAATACCGAGAGACAGTAGATAAAAATTTTGCCAACGGTGTTTGATTTAAATTTATTTAAACTAATTTTTTTCTTTTGTCCACTAAAGAACATGATTGTGTCATTAACGCTTCTCCCGCCAAGAAAAAAACAGATTCCCACAATCCTAGAGACATTGTTAAGACCACATTGTATGGCAGATCTTTTCTTCTTTACCCTCCTTAAAAGAAAAGTACCTTTATTAATTACAGATTCAATAATATACAATAGCTAGCCAGCAGCAGTGTTTTTGGGGAGGGGAAGTATTGTCTTTCTAATCTACTGGAAATTGACTGATTTAGGTTGTAATTTCTCCTCCTGCCTCCTTCCAAAATGCTAAACTGTCTTTAACTGGTAGGCATTTTTACTGTCACTTTTTGCTGATGTTGGAAAATCTCTAGTCAAATCCTGTACATGAAATTTCAAAGCCTGTTGACCAGCATCTGGCTGCTTTCTTATGTCAAGAAGTGAAAGTTGTAGAGAATACCTGTTGTAAAAATATATCAAAACATCTTGGCACAGTGAGACATTTTTAGGCTCACTTACATAGCTTCTTCCATAGCCCAATCTTGAGTCACAATAGCCAATGGAAACCTGCTGGCTTTTAACAAGTGATGGATAATGCAGTGAGTGGACATTGTCCCTTCTAATTACAAATGAGAAAATGGGTTCAAAGAGCAAACTCCTTTTCTTTTTGGAATGGAGTCCAAAACTAGCCAAAAGCTGGATTGGATGAATCGATGATATGGGACCTTTCAGTCCCACGTCATTGATGAAGTCAGTAAGTTCCTGTTGACTTCAGTGACTTAAATTGGTCCTATCAGGGCCAAGAGTCACTGCAACTTACTACTAAAGATAATTCAGTGATCTAAAACCAGTAGATCTAGTGATTTTTTTTTCTAGTGAACGTGCATCTCATTGCAAAGACTACCTCAGTGATTACCGTCAAAGAACTAACAGGGGTATGGAAAATGAAATATTCTTAAAACAAATTAGGTCCGTGATCTGTAGTTCCTCATATTATTGTTGCCCTACTGTACTTGCTCTTTAAATAAATTTAGTTTTGGTCGGGTCAAAATGACAGATTCCAAAATCACTAGAATACCACTAAGCTGAACTGTTTACTATGTTTCTTAAATAATTTGTTGTTGGTTTTGTGGCATTCTAGTGATTTTCTTTGGAAGGTGTCATCCTGATCTGGTCAAAACTGATATATAGAAATTAAGACTACACCACTAACAATTTTTGTGCAATTGATTTACATGATGAAAGTCAGTCTTTTCCTAGCCAACAGGTATTCTTTTCAAGCCTATTTCTTTAATTCAGTTTTAATTGTAACTTTGGCTATTTTTATGGAGTTATCTAACAAGGCTTGAGGTTTTGAAAACAATCAAAGAAAAAGAATGCTGGCTGCCCATTTGAGTTTCCACTATTTAAAGTATATTTTGGATACAATCTTAATATTTTCTTACCTGAAAATTTTTTAAATGCTGTCATATATTTAGAATTCTGGTAACTTTTTTTTTCATTTTAAAACACTAATTTGGAATCTACCATCTGGCAAAACAGACATTTTGTGCAAACATTGAACTGAAATTTGTATAACACCATACTCATTTGGGATGACAGAGGGTGAAGAAAGATAAATAAGACATTTTACTATTTTTTCCCATTGGTATGCTAAGAGTAATGTCCCAATAAGAGCCTCTAAAAACTAATCTGAACTGTGATTTGGCTAAGTTTAGTTTTTGAACCAATTTAGTAGGGAGATCTGGGGAGAGAGAGTCTGTTCCATAAAAATGTCAACTTGAAAAATAAAGCCAATAAGCATATTATGGGTCAGATTCATTTCTGTTGCAACTCTCTTGTCAATGGAGTTATTTTAGGGAGGAATTTAGTGGTACAAATCTACCAAAAAAACCCCCAAAAAACAAAAAAACCCCTTAGGTTATGTTGTTTAAGATAGCTTTTTATATAATGAGTCTTGGAGCAGGGAAAGCCAAGAAGTGATATTATAGTTCCACCTTGGTATAGGGGTGGAGGAAGCAGAATGGCTTAACTCAAGTTTTCTTGTATGCTGTCCATTGACATTGTTAAGCATTTTTATCTCTTTGGACTTTGATTTCACAGTTTCAAATAAACCAACTTTTTAACTTTGTTTAGCTGTGTGCAGGTTGTTATTAAAACCCCCCAACAGAATAACCCCATAAAACAGAATTTGCGCGTGCGCAAAATTTAACATCTAGTGCATGAGCACATGATATGGATGTTTAATGGTCTGGGTTCAAAAGATGCATAAAACCAAACCAAAAGAAAAACAAAAAACAAAACATGTTATTTCTGTTTGCAAATGACTTAAATTTTGATGATATACATACACATATGCAATGTATATGTGTGTATAATATGCATGCCATCAAAACAGAAAGTAATTTCCTTTAGGAAAGCTCACAACTCTTACATGTATGACTATGTAGAGAGTAGAGTTTTTGGTGGTGGTTTGTTTTTTCGTGTTTATGTAAGGAAGTTCAGAAAAGCCATGGAATCTTAAAAATGTGATTCATGGTTGAAGCTCAATTAGATCTATATTGTTTTCTGTTCCTTTAGTATGTTGTTTGTTCCATAGAAGGCATTAGTTTAAAACAGGGACTCTTAACTAGGGTGCTGCAGCACCCTGGGTTGCCTTGAGATCCTTTCAAGGGTGCTGCAGGGTGTCCCAAAATGTTAGCACTTTTCAGTATGTAAACATGATTCACATGATAAGCTCTGAGACTTCAAAGAAGAATGCACAGTGTTAAAAACATTCTGTCCTATTGTGGTATTTTTGAGTTCTTTGCCCCAACAAAATTGTTCTATTTTTTTCTATAGTCAAAAAGCAAGTGAAAACTAAGAGCTGGCATTTTCTGTGGGGTGCCTCGAGTCCCCCAGGATGTCTCCAGTATAAAAAGATTGAGCACCACTGATCTAGAGCAGTGGTGCTCAACCTTTTGGCCCTGGGGGCTGAATGTGGCATGGGGCCTGGCCATGGGCCAGATGGGACCTTGTACATCAGGATTCGACCTGTATGCCTGGATCTGGACTACACCACCCCTTGCCTGGCCCTGTATGCCAGAATCAGGGCCCTGGGACCCCATGCTGCTTCCATTTGGCTTCACACACTTTGGGACCCTGTTCCATCTCTGCCAGGCTCTGCACTGGGATTGGGCACTGCACTACTGCTGTCTCGTCCCACATTCAGAGATTGAGCAATCTGGGACCCCATGCTGCCTCTTTCTGGCTCCGTGTGTGGGTTTTTGGGGTCCCAAACTACCCTGGCCTGGCCCTATATGCTGGGATCAGACACCTGCATTGCCTCAGCTGAACTTCATGCACCAGAATTAGGCTCTCGGCATCTCATGCCACCTCCATCCAGCCATGCATGCTGGGATTGCCCCCCACATTGCCCTGTGCACCCTACCTAGTGCACAGAGCCATGGTCCATTGGCTACTAATGGACCCATGGGGAGCCCTACAGGCTGGATGACAAGGTGCTGAGGGATGGATCTAGGTCATGGGCCAGGGTTTAAGCACCTCTGGTCTAGACGTTCATTGTTCTTGCCATGTAAGGATACTCTTGAAAAATATAGCGGCTAACTTTGGTAGCACCTTCCATCTCTTTCGTCAAAAGAATTGGTTCCTTCAGTATTTCCTTTGCAGTGGGGGGACTGCTGCTACACCTTGAAAGAAGTAGCTTGCCAGATAAGCTGCCACTGCCTGCTTGCTCAGGAGAGCAACTTTTCAGGTCATAAGTCCATGAGCACAAGGAAACAGGCGCGTTTTAAAAAATTCCAATAGGGAAAAATATTGGTTCAAAGTAGTAATTAGTTGCTGGTAGAAAGAAAAACATCTTCATTTGCTGGTATATGTTAAGTGAACTGCAATATATTTCTGTCTGATGAAGTGTTTGTTTTCTCTGTCTAATAGTTTGTATTATCTTTGTTTCAGGAGAGTGAATGTACTGGTAAAACACTGGTAATAAGGTACCATCTTATTGGGCTGCATAGCAGAACATAACTGGGTCACTGAGGTATATTAACAACATAAGGGAGAATAGAAAATATTACATGTGCATTGGGATTTAGTGTTGCTTGGGAAATTTACATTTTATCTCTCTCGACTTCTAAAAAAAAAAATGCAGTGAAACCTGTGTAAACTGCAAACTTGTTCAATCTGGGAAATTTCTATGGTCCTGACATACTTTCCTACCTGGAAAGCTTCCTCCTATAAGAAAAAACCTGTCTAAACTTGACATTTCTCCTGGTCCCATGTAATCCTGTCTTGGATTTCACTGTATTTATTAAGTTTTCAGGAATGCTGAGTTTCATAGCAAGGTTTACTGATCATGAGACAGCAGCCCTTAGCTGTAATTAAAACCATATGCTCTGAAAATATGCTTCTGCAGTTTATCTCCAGAGAACTATGAACTTTCAAACTGTAGTGAAATGATTTACAACACGTACACATATACAGTTCTAAAACATAGCTTAAGTGACTTCTAATGCTTTTGCAAATGTGATTATGGACGTATTCCTCTGTGAAGCCCGTTTAGTACTAAGCATCCATCTGTCTGGTACTAAGTGGGCTTCACAAAGGACTATGTCCATAGTGTGTGTGTGTGTGTGTGTGTGTGTGTGTGTGTGTGTGTGTGTGTGTGTGGTTCAAAGAAAGGGCTGTGGTTTTAATAGCTAGAAAAGTAACTTGTATAAATAAATAGGTAAAGAATTCAAAATTTCCCTCCTATCCACCAATTCGTCAGGCTGTATTTTTATACAGTTTAAGTGTTTTGCACAATAGTTTACAGAAATACAACATGAAGGAAGATACCATATTTTATCACGTACAGTACACCCTGGAATACAATATATACCTTGTTTTTGAAAGGCAAAATGAAGAAAAAAGATTTTTCTGGAG